GTGTGTGTGTGGCCAGCTCAGCCCACCAGGGGGCGGGGCTGGCTGGCATGTGGTGCTGGGGGATTGAACCGCGGTCCCTGCGCTTTGCTAAGCTTGTTCTAAGTAGGTGCTTTAGACCACTGAGCCATCTCACCAGTCCCTGGCATTTACACTTGTGTGCACAGGTAGCTAGGATGTGTTCTTTTCCTCAGTAACCTCTGAAGATTGTCCTTTTCTGTTTTTCTTTTCTTTTTCCAGTGCCGGGAATTCAACCCAGGACTTAGCACAAGCTAGGCAGATGGTCTACCCCTGAGCTGTATTCCAGCCTTTAAGATTGTCCTAACTTGGGCTATGGCGGTAGCTCAGCAGTCTAAGTGCCTGCCTGGCAAACACAGTTCGCTCCCTGATATGTGCCAGGTCCAAGCTGCATATTGAGACCCTGTACCAAATAAGTAAAAAATAAATAATAGGTTTTTTGTTTTTTGTAATTTAAAAAGAAAAACAGATTGTCCTAAGCTGAGAGTTTCTCTGATTCCTGTAGCACGTAGCCTGATCGAGGCTCCTCTTAGCCCTGACCTCATCTGTATCATGACATTTTCCCTCTTTGCTTCAGAACTAGGGTTTCCTAGTAGTCTGCGACCTTGTACCACTGTATTGCAAGTGTAATACATGTTTAATCAACAGAAATTAGTAAACACTGCTGAGCAACAATTGTAGTAACCCTTGGGAGGTGCGTATCTGTTGGGTGAGGTTGACCAAGCAACCTGAAAAGACAGAGCAGATGAAGAAAACGAGTGGACATTAAGTGATTTATAGTCATAAACTAGTAAGTAACAGAGTTTGTTCTGAAACTAGAGCTAAGGTGTTTTGTGTTCCTCTGCAGGTACCTTCTCTGTACCCAGATGTGGATCTCAAAGTGGGTCCTGTGCAGACCCCTTATTCTGTCGCTGTGGCTCTGTCTGAGCCAGTGCTCAGTGTCCTTTTGTTGCTCTCCCCCACCCCCAGGATCGACGAGAATGTCCTTGGAGCTCAGCTCGATGTGGAGGCTGCCCACTCCGAGATCCTCAAGTACTTCCAGTCCGTCACCTCCAATCGGTGGCTCATGGTCAAAATCTTCCTTATCCTCATCGTCTTCTTCATCATCTTCGTGGTCTTCCTGGCCTGACCCCGTCCACCCCGAGGCAGTGCCCAGGACACGGGCCGTGACGACAGCAGGGGGCGGGTCTGCCGCTGAGCCTGTGCTGGGTGCTGTGGACAAGGCCCTGAGTCCCTGGAGCTGCGCAGGGTGGCCACCAGCCCTGACCCCCATGCCTCCTGCTACCCTCAGGCCCGTGGGACACACATGGGCCTGGGTCTGGACTCTGCAGCGACAGGAAGGGAGCAGGAGCTGGCCAGGGGCTGCTGTGGGCCGTGTCTCCCCCCGGGAGATTTTTATAAATCCTCCACACTTTGAGAGAGAACTGGACAGCAGGAGAGGGCGCCCTTCTCTGCCCTCTGGAGCGAAGAGGAAGTGAAGTGCCCCGTGAGCAACTTCCCCTTCTGGTTGGTTAGAGCTCGCGAGCACCTCCTCCCTCTCCTCCACATGGGGCAGGGGGGCCTGAGCCCTCTCTGCACAACCTGACGCCTACCAGCTGCTGTGACACAGCCTGCTGTGCTGTGGCCGGTTTCTCCCAATTACAGCGAAACTGTCAGCCCCAAGAGCTGTGCTGTCGTTCCTGGGGGCAAGCAGGCCTGGGGGCCTGCTGCTGTGGACGTGCACTGCTGCCCTGTGTGGCAGGGACCCAGTGGGTCACACTTCTGGTGCAGAAGCCTCCTTGGGGAAACCTTTATAGAGAAGCCAGTACCCAGGCAAGACCCAGTCAGTTGTCCTGACAGCTCCCAGACTGGCTCAAGCAGTTGGGACCTGCTTCGTCCAGGGCTCTCTGGTCTGTGCAAGACCCACAATAATGCAGCCCCTTCCCCCCAGAGAATAGAGGGGATCTACCCACAATACCCGTGGGGGGAAGGGGATACTGTGTGGTCCTGTCCTTCCAGGTGGAGACCCACAGCGGCACCGTGAGGTCACAGCTGGCAAAGGGAGCTACAGCTGCAGAGGCCTGAGTGGGGTGTGTGACCTTGAGTCATCAGTGGCAACTCCACGTGGAGGGTGTCATTGGACAGAAGCCCATTAATTTCACAAATTCTGGTGAATTTAAACATCCTGGGCTGGCCAAATAGCTCAGTGGATTAAAGCACCTGCAGGCAGGGGTCAGGAGTTGGATCCTCTGGCCTGTTATGCTTGCCCTGCTCCTGGGGCAAACTGAAATGGTGATTGAGACTGGGCATGGTAGCAGGCCTATAATCCCAGCATTTGGGAGGCTATAAACAGGAGAATCACTACGAGTCTGATCTAGTGGTGAGACCCTGAACACCCTGTAGACCCTTCCCTAAAATACAAAAAAATAGGGCCAGGGATATAGCTCAGTAGATTAAGTGCTTGCCTGGCAAGTGCAAGGGTCTGAGTTCAATCCCCAGTTCCAAAAAAAAAAAAAAAAAAACCAACCTACCAGCCTTGGGCTGGCCAGGTAGCTCAGTAGATTAAAGTGCCTGCTTGGGCAGAGCACAGCAGCCAGGTTTGATCCCAGGGCATGCTCCTGGGGTGTGCTGAGACTGCAATTAAGACTCGGTGTGGTGGCGCGCACCTGTAATCCCTATACTTGGGAGTGCTACTAGTCTGATCTACATAGTGAGACCCTGTGGACACTACACTAAATACAATAAAAAAAAAGCTACCAGCCTTTATATGGAAGATATGGGGCTGGGGATTTGGCTCAGCGGTACAATGCTTGCCTAGCAAGCTGGAAGCCAAGTTCGGTCCTTGGCACCAAAAACAAAACCCCCTAAAAATTCAACCAAAAAGATATAGTAAAATCAAAAAAGACCCAAAACAAGGCAACTGCACATACATGGAAGTTCCAAATCAATCAAGGTTTCTGCCCCTGGAGCTCAATTGAGCGCCGCCCCTATGGAGGATGAAACCCTGAGCTACTTTTCTTTACATCTCAAGCCCTTTTTATTTTAGGTTTTTTTCTGTTTTGTTATGTATTTTGTTGTCACAGGGTCATGGTGACCCTCCTTTTAGCCTCACCAGTGTTGGGATTACAGGCATGCACCACTAGGCCTGGACTCAGGCCAGCTCAGGGGTGGTGCCTAAGCAGGCACTGTAGTCTGATGAGCCATCTCGCTGGCCAAATTGAGGGTTTCTTTTTTGATGGAACTGGAGATTGAACTCCGGCCCTTGCGTTTGCCAGGGAGGCGCTTATTCCACTGGGCCATCTCCCCGTCCCCGAATTTAGGGTTTCTGAGACAGGTCTCATATTAATTCAAGCTGACCTTGAACTCAGTATGTAGCTCAAGCTGGCCTCAAACTCCCAGGGAGCCGCCTCATGCTAAACTGCCCGATCTGGCCTCCAAATTGCGATGTTTTTAACTCGGACTGCTGGAACTTTAGAGTGTTGGGATTACATGTGTGTCTAAAACAAGTCTATGCAGCCTGATAGGTGGCTCAAACCTGTAACCTTAGCACTCTTGAGGCTTAAGTGGGGCAAATGCAAGTTCCAGCACATCCTGGGCAACTCAACAACTTGGCAAGGCCTTGTGTCAAATAAAAACCAACAACAACGGAAGGGGCTAGGGATGGAACTTCGTGTGAAGGCCCCGAGTTCAATCCCCAGTACCTGGGGGGAAAATTCTTACTCCGTGGGCCAGTGGAAGTAGCACAAACCCAGTGCTCTGGGAGGCTGAGGCAGGAGGGTGTCAAATTCGAGCCTTTCCTGGGTAGCTTCACGTCTCGAAAACTAACAGGCTGGCGTCTGGAAAACTAACAGGCTGGGCCGTAGCTCAGCGGAGTAAAAAAAAAAAAAAGG